TTACTTAGTGTTAATTACATCTGAGACGCTTATATATTCGATTTCAGAAACCGTTTTCCTATCAATGTTGGTATCTCAGATGTCAGTGTGTGACAACTCCATTGTGGAATCCTCTCTGACTAAGGGATCTTCATCTGTTTCAGGGTTATTTGTCAGGCTAGCTGAGCCCACTGGGAGGTGGAGAGCCTACCTTGACCTCTGCTGGGTTTACCTGGCCAAGCTCCGACTGCTCTTGGTTCTGCCCGTGAGGGCTTCGCCAGGTTTAGAGTTGGGAAGAGTGTCTCGCCCAGAAGTGGGATAGATGGTTTGGCTGTGTCCACTCTGGATCATTGCCGTCATGGCGACTGTGACTACCTTCTCCGCCTCCTCATTTGACCTCACCAAAGTTGTTGCTATTGCAGTGACTACAGCAGTTAATAGGAGTTATATTTTCCTCACCAAAGAGGAGTTGATCGGCTCTTGGCTCTTGCAGTGTTCTTTGAACCTTTATTCCTTTAGGTTCTCTTTCTGCTCACTGAAAAGCCAAGTAGCACCATCCTGACTCTCCTGTCTTCGGGATTCAATGATGAGATACACAGACTTTTCTCCTATCTTAAGCTCCTTCATTCACCTTGATTTCTAGGGACAGTGATCATGCCCTGGTCTGGATTTGCCTCTGCATCTCCAATGCTCTCATCCAACTAGTACGCATTACCAAAGCCTTCAGGTTTAGAGGGAACCTTAAACTGTGGAAAACGCCTAGAGGGTCTCTATTAGGCCCTTTCAGGCAGCCCCTTTGGCATGGATTCTGGGCTTTGATCATGGGAGCAGCTGGTTGGGCTCGTCCAGCTTGTGCTCCCATCTCGGTCAAGGAAGACATCTGAGGGGAAGTCAGAGGTTTCCTTGCTTTGGGTGCAGGCCTGGAGAGGCTAGCACGAGAGTCCACCTGTTGGACTGTGTAGCAGCCGGTCCCCTACCCACCACGGGGTCCAACAAGGGGAAGTTGTATATTAGAGCTACAGGGCTGGTGAGCAGATATAGCAGCTAATAGCCAATGTGACCGGCACTCACGGGACCTGTATAAGTGCCAACAGCACCATGATAGCTTGACCCTAGCCTCCCAAAGGAGACCAGCCAATTGACCTGACCGGCCAGGATCAGGCCAGCCTATCTTGGAACACTTGATCATCCTTCTTCAGTGAGCCAGCCACCCAAAGGATAGCTCACCTGAGAGAGGAAGTTCAAGGTCCTGCACCTCTTCAAGGCAGTTCTAGTTGCAGGGCTCTGGTCATCAAGATGAGTAAGAAGAGGTAGAGGCAAAGGAATAGATATGACAGCCATAATCAAGAGTGGAGAGGATGCTTTGCAGGGTGGCCAAAATGCCAACATTTCTGACATTGATGTATTTTACTACATGGACTTTTATCTCAAATATCACCCAAATCAGCTGGTGTCATCTATTCCCATGTGAAGTTTTAGTACTCACTAGTTTATCCTCCTTATCCCATACAGGTGCCTTTAATCTTAACCACTACTAACCCAGGTCCTCTTTTACATACACTGTTTATTTCTCTAGTGACTGCTCACCCACCTGCCCTTCCTTCTTCTCCCCTCACCTAATATGTCCTCTTTGTAGATAATTTCATATTTATATTTTTCTGTGCAGTAGGAAAAAAACACAAGCT